AACATGCCCATATAATATTATAAGATTATGATTATTTAAATTTTGGTTCAGCGAGTGTCGCCGCCGCCGAGTGAGGGAAGTGATTTTGAAACAATGATATATTTAGTTTTGAATTGAGATTTGAATTGAACGGCTGACAGACAACATGCCGTGAAATATACAATCCATAGCGATCCATAGCAGTCCATAGCAATCCATAGCTCTGGACAGATGGGGACCTTGCTATGGGTGCTATGGGTGCTATGAGCGCTGCACAGAGCTGTCCAGCTCTGTCCAGCTCACCCAGGTTTTGCTGATGTTCTATGGAGGCTGAGGCTTTCTTATAATGTACTGGAAAACTTTGTTCAAAACTTCATGAAGGAATGAGTATGTGAAAAAGTGCTAATGACTGATTCATCAGCAAAACCTGGGCAATGGCCATAGAGGCCATAGCAATCTATAGCAAGCCATAGCAGGTCATAGCACTAGCTGCTATGAAATGCTATGGCTTGCTATGAGCTACTATGAGCTCCTGGGAGATAACCGAGTGCTTGACCTAGCTGTCAGTCTCTCCCGCTAATGCTATATAGCATTGATGCGTTGATGTTGTAACTTCCTTCCCTTCCTTCCTTCCTTCCCCAGCTTCCTTTTTTTTCTTCTAAGTCAAAGCTCCGAGTTGCTTTGGTTTAGACATCATCGGTAAGTTGCACCCCTCAACTTTGTTTGATATATCTAATTAAGCTTCAGTAGTGTCACCATCTAGTATTTACAGTACTATAGTTTTATTTACACTGTACTTTCCGAATTGCTACTGTGACATCTACTACCATGACAATATTATACGATTTTATTATAATTATTTTGGTCTCGCAACTAGTTGAGGGAATCAATTCCAAAAGCGGTCATATATTTAGTTTTGAATTGAATCCCTGCCCTGACAGACAACATTCACCCAAAATCCATAGCAACTTATAGCAATCCATAGCAGTCCATAGCTCTGGACAGATGGGGACCTTGCTATGGGTGCTATGAGTGCTATGAGTGCTGGACAGAGCTGTCCAGCTCTGTCCAGCTCTGTCCAGTAAACCCAGGTTTTGCTGATGTTTCAAGGTTTTTACACAAGTAATCTCTGAGATTGTTGTTGCCACACAGTCACAGAGATCTGAGTGGTCTCGCAAGGATTCCAAGTGAGGATCTCTTCTATGAGCATATCTGGCTTGCTGGGCATCATTTGGAGATGTGTATGGCAGCATGAATCCATTAACAGGATCATGTTGGCTGCAAGAACGAGTTAATAACTCATTCAGTGAGCCTTGACGTGGAAATGCAGAATGAAAAGGTGTTGAGATCTAGCTGGCTGTGCGCTTCATCTGGCTACTGCAGAGATCTTGGGAACCTTCAGCATCCTCTGCTTGTTTTTTCAATTCCATTTGAGGCATGTGGTAGCATTGACTACTGTTGATGTGACTGATTCATGTGAAGAATTTGAACCAACCTCATTTGCTTTGTTGAGTGTACATCCAGTGGGTAATGAGCATTTCCAAATGCATCAGCAAAACCTGGGCAATGGCCATAGAGGCCATAGCAATCTATAGCAAGCCATAGCATGTCATAGCAGCCATAGCGCTATGAAATGCTATGATTTGCTATGGCTTACTATGAGCTCATCATCAGCAAAACCTGTATTTTCGCTGGAGAGAACCCATTCATTTGGGACATCTCTGGAGCAAGGTACCCTATTCCAGAGACCTCTGGAGATCTCTGGAGAAAAATGACAGTTTTTTTGACAGCTGTCAAGCTTCAGAGATCTCTGGAGACCTCCAGCAAAAATACAGGTTTTGCTGATGCTATGAGATTGCCGCATGCTCAAGCCAGCTGTCATTCTCTCTCACCAATGCTATATAAGAATCAGCGCATTGTCAAAACTTCCCCAATCTCACCTGACACCTCTAATTAAGCATTGGTAGTACATACTAGTAGTTTCATTACAATATTATCCTAGTAGTTTAAGTAAGTCTACTTAGTATGTACTACCCTGAACACCATCAGCAAAACCTGTATTTTCGCTGGAGAAAACCCATTCATTTGGGATATCTCTGGAGCAAGGTACCCTATTCCAGAGACCTCTGGAGATCTCTGGAGAAAATTGACAGTCTTTTTGACTGCTGTCGAGCTCCAGAGATCTCTGGAGACCTCCAGCAAAAATACAGGTTTTGCTGATGACAATAATATATGATTTTATTATACATAATTAGTTGGTCTTGCTTGAGACTTGAGCAGAACAATTCAAGCAGCCATATATTTAATTTTGAATTCAATCCTACCCTGACAGATGATGTTCCTGTGAAATCTATAGCAAGCCATAACAATCCATAGCAGCCTATAGCATTCCATAGCTCTGGATAGATGGGGACCTTGCTATGGGTGCTATGGGTGCTATGAGTTCTGGATAGTGCTATCCAGTGCTGTCCAGTACACCCAGGTTTTGCTGATGTGCATTGGAAGCAACCAGGCCATTCTTGAGAGAAAAATCAAGTCAAGCTGGTCCAAGCAGACCAGAGCTGAGAGTCCTACATGAGTAGCTGTGGTCACCACTGGTTGATGTTAGTCTATCCTTGAGGTATCGGGACGAACCGCCCGCCGAATCGGATTACTAATCATTGAGCTGAATAATCAGTCCGCTGCACAAAAAAACAGCAGGAGCTGTGTTTGATGCTCGCATCTGGCTCAATTTGCACCCAGATTACTTGTTTATTCACTTGAAGTCTTATTTACAATGTTAGAAGATTAAAAATCTCAAATCCAGGTGTACAGCACTTGGTATGAGACTTGTTTGAGACCATTTGACAACTTTTGACAATGACTAGGGATCCCCACCGTAACCATATAGTATGGTTTGATGGGTACAGGTATACGGGTAGCCATAACCATCCCGTATAGGGATCTTGAGAATTTTTTACAGTTCGGGTGGGGCACTACAGTATACCATATACTTACTGTACCAATATGGCCGTATACGGGTTGTGTACGGCCTGTAAATACCCAAAGTCAGACCACTTTCTCGCAGCTTCTCCATATATAGGTTGTTAAGCCATGGTGCAGGGTGCGTTGGCACAACTCAAGCCATGTCAAGCAAGTGGCGCAGGGTGCATTGGTGCAATTTCCTGACAATTTTTCCAACAACATCTAGAGTTTCTTTCAACAATGCTGAAATCACATGGAGTAACTGGGATGCAATTGTTACAGTTTCTCACTGGCACTTAAATTTCCGATCTGCTACCATGCAAATGTCAACAACATCAAAGCCAATGCTCTCTTCTACACATTCTACATTCCGGGGCCTTCAGTGCACTCTGAAAGACAAACTGAATGAGCTTCCAGCAGATGTATCACCAGTGCTTGTGCTTGGCTTGACTGATGCTCACCGTAAATTTGACTATTATTATAAGTATGACAAATCACCATTCTACATTTGGGCTGCTTGTATGTGCCTAAATATTTTCTTTCTATTTTCTTGCTGTGGTAGTTCTTGATCCTTGCTTCAACTACAAGAATCTCAGGAAGGATTCCGCCAGTGAACCTGATCTTCTTGCCTATCTTGAAGACCAAAAAATCGCCCTCAATACCTACTTTGAAAAGAACTATCCATCATCTCCAACCACATCTTGTTCCTCTACTTCTCCCAATAAAACAACTGACTCAAGTATTATCAACTTTGCAGCTTATGATCAAGCATCTGATGATGAAGATGTGGGCAACAAATTGGAATGTTACTTACCTTGATGCACCACGGGCATCCTCAAAAACTCATCCAGTTTAATGGTGGTATGCATGAAGGACTGAGTCTCCTTGCTTGTGTTGCATGGCATGGGACTTTATTTCAATCCCTGGTATGTATTTCTCCACTCATATTAGTGTTTATCTGATGCTAGTTTTCTGTGCTAGGCTCTGCAGTTGCTGTTGAGCACATCTTCTTTGGAAGCCGGGATACAATCTCACTTCGTTGGTCACGCTTGAAGCCAGAAATAATCCCGGTGACAAGCATCAACTCAGGTTGAAGCGCAAAGTGCTCGAAGATGCATTACAAGCCACTGTAGATGCGTAGGAGCAATTTTATTTATTTTCTCCTCACTATATGGCTGTATTACCCATACTGTACCCGTATAAATGCCCGTTACCGTACCGCATCAGCTCTTTTGGTTCCTTATATGGTTACGGGTTGTGTGCTACAGTATACTGTATAATACCGTAATTTTTACGGTGGGGATCCCTAACAATGACCTCAAATTTCACTCAAATTTCTTGATCCTTGTGCAGGACTTATTTGCTTTGGAATGCCGCTTCAAAATACTAGTATTTTAGCATAAATATAATGTGAATGCGCGGTGGAATGAGCTTTGAACAACATGAGAACTTCGAAGTGCCCATGAGATTATTCAGCTCAGCGGGCGCTAAATCGGCTGCAGTAAGAGAACCAACTTGACTTGCAGATGTTATACACATCATTTATGATCATTGTATTACTCTGCCTACGGGAGACTAGGTTGATGTCAAGATAATTGGGCACTCTCCGGAAGGTTCACAGAGCGACCAGAGACCACAAGATCTGTTTATGCATTTTGAGAGTTGTTGCCAGGCAAGGGGCTTGCCCAATAGAATTATCCAGGAAAAAAAATCTTTGAGATCTTTGCTGACACAAAATAGAAAAGAAAGAAAAACAAATGTAAGACCTTGCCACACTATTATGCTGCTAAGTGTTATGGTGAGATTGGGATTTGAACCCATGCTTACAAATGCAGTTGACTCCAGACAACTTGGAGTTCTGAGGTACCAACCACTCCCATTTCAGAGTACTTCAAAGTGTTACCAGTTCATTGAAGTCTGGGTTGTTTTCTTTAACTTAAATATATATATGCTGATTAGCTCAAGCCCAAAGAACATGTAAATGTACATAAAATTCAATAGAACACCAAGATCTCAGTGCAGAAAAAAAAACATGAGAACTGATATGCAAGAGACTATGATGAGAGTGGGATTTGAACCCACGCCACGAATGACTACAGGTAGATAGAGTAATCTAAATCTAGCGCCTTAGACCACTCGGCCATCTCACCACATCCTAATTTCTCTTGAATTGGTGGATATCCAGGTGACAACTTGGCAAATTAGAAGTGGCTCTTTCTTCCTTATTAGGGAGAGCTCCAGTGGAGCCCAGACGCGCACATATTGAGGCTCCGAGTCCACGCGGATGACGCTGGATGCAAACGATCCCAGCCTAGTTGAGCCAACGCCTTCGTTCCGTCGTAGAGCACAAACTCAAGTGAGACGAGATGCTACAGTCAGCCTACAGTCGCACTTGGCGAAGATTGGAGATCGCCGTGAGTGGACGGAGGAGAATGAATGAATATTTTTAGCGCGTCCGCAGCGCACGTAATTAACGTTACCCGTTGTCTTGGCGATCGAGGGCCAAATAAGGCTTAGCGTGAAAATTTTCCCTTCATCTTCAACCACCACCTCTCCAGTCCAGATTCCGTCCACGAACGAAGAGCCTCGCTCTCCAATCCATTCTTTTTTTTCTTGAATACACTCTCTAACGAATCTTGGATCTCTCTAATAATGCGAACAAGTACAACAACAACAACACTCGCAGCGCTTTCGCTGGCTTCACTCGCCGCCGCTAGCTCGCACCACAATAATGCAGCACTGCATAGGCGTACTATGCACAAGCTTCGTGCTCGTGCGTCCGAGGGAATTGCGTATTATGGCTACCAGAATGGAACCACCAACGCCTGCGGAACCGTTTCTCAAGACACGGATATGATTGCTGGCCTCAGTGCCACCTACATCTCTGGCACAAGCACTGCTGATTGTTGGCAACACGTGTGTTGACTTGCGTTTGATTTTGGTTTTGATTTTTTCTTACTCGGCCTTAGTTGACCGTTACCAACACGGACACTGGAGCCTCTATCGACGTCACTGCCACCGATAACTGCAAGGTCTGTGGAGATAGCGACGTCTACTTGTCGACTAGCGCCTTCGAGGCGTTGAATGCCGGAACGTTGAACGGTGGTACCTGTAAGCACCCTTTTTTCCGACCGGCATTTCAGTGATTGACGACTTTATTATTTCAGTAAACATCACCTGGGCTTGGGCGAGCTCCAGCAGCAGTAGCTCTGTCTCTGTCGCCTCTCCGAGCTCTGTTTCTGTCTCCAGCTCTTCAGCTGACTCCTCTTCTCCCACTTCCGTCAGTGTAGCCGAAGCCATTGCCCCTGCTCCAACCAGTTCCAGTGTCTCTTCCACCGTCGCTTCTACTTCCGCTTCGACCTCTGTTGCCTCTTCAACCTGTGAGTTAATAGCCATACGTGTCTCCTGAATCAACCCACCGACTTGTTCTCTTTCCAGCGAGTACCGCTTCCGCAGCAGCCACTGGCACCTCTTCCAACGGCTGGACTCTCTCCCAATCTCTCACCGGTCAGAACCTGATCAACTACTTTACTGCGTAAGCAACTCTCCGTTTCCCATAACCCCTCCGCCCCAGACTCACTTCGTCTTTCCACCGACAGTTCCTCCGGCGCCTCTGACAACAGCGGTGTCGCCAACTACGTCGACAACCTCATCTCCGTCAACTCTGATGGCGACGTCCTCATGTGGGTCGACACCACCGAAAACGTGAACCTCCGAAACTCGATGAAGTTGTCTTCTTCCGAGACCTTCAACGTTGGTACTATGATGATCTTTGACATCGTCCATATGCCGACTGGATGTGGAACGTAAGGAACCTGCCTTTCTTATCCTCGTTGCAGTACTCATATTCGCTTCAGCTGGCCCGCCCTCTGGCTCCTCGGTGGCGGAACCTGGCCTGCCGGAGGTGAAATCGACATCATCGAAGGTGTCAACGAATACGTCCACAACGTCATGTCCATCCACACCTCCGAAGGCTGCTCCATCACTCAGAACAATGTCAACGCCCTCGTTGACTCCACCATTAACGTCGCTTCCGACCTCGACTGCTACGCTTACGCCGACCAAGATCAAACCTGCGCCGCTACCTCTTCCCAGACCAATTCCTATGGGTCTGGATTCAATGCCGGAGGAGGTACCTATGCTATTCAGATCATCGATGCGGGGATCTACATCAACTACTGGGCGGCCGGAAGTGTACCGAGTGATATTACCAGTGGAAGTCCCAACCCGAGCTCGTGGAGTGCTCAGACGTTCTTCTCAGCGACCAACTGTGCGATTGGAACGTACTTTACCGACCTTGCACTTATCATTGATACCAACCTTGGTGGAACATTCACTGAGGGTGTTTGGTCTACGAGCGGAGCAGGTGGCCAACAGACTAGTTGCGCTTCTTCCACTGGATATTCTACTGCTGCGTCATACGTTCAGAACATGGGATCTGCTTTCTCTGAGGCATACTGGGTGAGTCTTCTGTTCTTTTCCTTCTGGTTCAATCCTGACCTCGATCTTTTTTTTTTCATAGCAAATCTCGAGTATCAACATCTACTCTCAGTAGATGCATGAAGAACCATTACTTTGATGAACACCCGTGGACGTTTGATTCTGCCCTGACATACCAGTCCCTCCATTTTTAATCACCTCCCCATCTTTACAGTACGATTTGATTGTATCCATGTGGAAGCTGCGCTTCCTGCTCTTTTCTTTCTTTCCACTCGTTGCGTGTCAGTGCCAGTTGTTTTCCAGCTATAGATCTGTCGCTACGTGTGATGCTGCTATGACTGATCTGCATACCACATACCTATTTTCCTACTTTTAAACTTTTTTCATAGTTGAATTGATCATCCGGAGTCGTATAGCTACGCCCACCATTTAGCATTTAGCATCTAGTCGGCGTCGCATATAGCATATAGAATGATGCGTTTTATGGAAGTCTTGCTTAGAAGTGGACTGAGAGTCGGGCCCGGGCTGGTTCTGCTCGAAAGGTAGAGTATAGTTCAGTGCAGTACAATAATCAACGAAAGACAACGACAGCGCAAGTAGTGCTGAACTGGAATGGCCTCATGTACCTACTTATTGGCGGTGCAAAAAAAGAAACGACCTTTATTTCCTCATCGTCACTCACTCTTTCAAATTGCAAACGCGACATCCTTGCAATTAAAGCTACGGTACTCTTAACAAGAAGTACTGTATTACCAGATTCATCCGTCGACTCAAAAGTAGCTCGCGCTCAGACAGCATTGTGTAGCGTTAGCTCCACAGTTCAATTAAAGATCAGTCTCATCGTCTTCAGCACAAGGATACCTCGGACGCAAGTAGCTGTTATCAGCATCTTGGTCAACTCCGGCCTGAATGAGACCACTGGTGCTCCTGGTGAAGTATTACCCAGCACAGGAAGACTGCAGTCCAGGAATCTCAGCATTAGCAGGAAGAGTTCCAAATGAAAGTGGTCGAAGTCCCAATGTTTAGGACTGGAAGGAAAGAAGATTTATCGCGCAAAACCGTAATTCATCATCGTGCACTGTGCCTGGAGGAACTGTAGATCTGGGGCTGTTGTTGCGTACGCGAACATCTATGAAATCTACTCTTCTGCGACTGGCCGCATTCAGAAACATTCCTGCAGCTTCATCCTGTGTGGTGGCGATTAGTAGCCCTCTCAGTTACCTACCCTGGGGCCCTGGGTACCCTCTAGGACCGACAACTGAGGCGGTTCAAGCCTGTATTCATCCTGGATTCTAAAAAAAAGTTAAAGCTTGCAAGTTGTTGCGAGTCTGCGCCACATTACATTTTCAAAAAAATCCTTTCGACCGTATAAACTTGATAAGGCTTCATATTATAATTAGCTAGGCTATGCTTTATTGCTATGTGTGTCACGCGTCTCGAGGCGCGGCAACACTACAGCTCTACAGCTTTACAGGCCACAAATATCATTCGTGTACACGCTGCCAAACGCTGCCAACTCAAGGCACAGCCAACCTTCTCTTGCCTCTGCTCACATCTCTCTCCTCTTCCATGTCCCTCTTCGAAAACAGTCGTGGCTTTCAGATATATGGAGGAAACTTCTATGCTGCGGCTGGTGACATACATATCGAGCCGGAACCCCTGGATGCTCGAGTCAATCAGCAGCATTTATTGCTTCCTCCAGACGATTTCAGTCTTCCATGGGGAAAACTGGTAGAAGATGGTTGGACCGGCACCTCCGATGCAGGAGTATCTGGAGTACAAAGGAGGATTAGAAACACGGGAGAGAATCGACACACACCATATCGTGAGCTTTTACTTGATTTGTGTCTAATGAGCTGAGTGATCAGCATACTGATTGAACTCCCCTCTTGTAGATAATTCATCTCGGGGACAAATCGTCTCTCCTGCTGTTCCTTATCATGAAGAGCAAACTGAAACCTCAGTAGAGTCATGCACCTTAATCACCTTACCAAAATCCTTGAACGCTACAACAATCCTCCCCCCCATTCGCTCCCTCATTGAGCCTAATTTTAAATTCTCGGACGCTACTACAATCCTCCCCCCCATTCGCTACCTCATTGATCCTAATACTCACCCACAAGATTGCGGTAGACCACATCTCTTAGCTCCTATTCAGAGAATCCAGGAATTCAATAATTTTCCCATTCAAGGAACAGAAGAACACTTTGGTGAATTTCTACGCTCGCGCGTTCCGTTATGGGGGCCTGTCCCGTCCGAACCGACAACCATAAATGGCGGAACATTTGTGAGCCATACCATCCAGCGCCAAGGTGAAAAAGGCATGTTGAGACCTTAGATGAGATCCATCCGCACTAAAATTGAATACTGAGTACAGGAATCAACATACTACATGGCATGGTAGCGTTGGAAGCTCTTCATGACTCAGCGGAGAGCTTCCCCCAACCAAGATGTCATCCCGAAACACGCGAGAAAATGCTTGGCGAACTGCAGGAATGGTCACTGGGGACAGATCCAAGCAGCAATGTTCTTTGGCTGCATGGTCCTGCAGGCGCAGGGAAATCTGCTATCATGCAAACTCTCTCCTACCAATTGCAGGATGCAGGCCGGCTTGGAGGTTGCTTCTTTTTCAAACGAGGGCATGCTACACGTGGGAATGCAAGAGCACTATTTGCAACCATTGCTTATCAGCTTGCAATTGGTGTTCCCT